TTCTTCCCTACTTTTTTTTATTATTTATTATCATCTTATGAGTGTGCACTATATATGTTTTTGCAGTAGAGATACTCTATGCAATATCCTCCTTGGCGATCAAGGATTGCCCATTTGGTCACATCACTGATAACATTATTGATTCATTGGACATCCAAATCTTCTTCCATCTTGATTTGGAGACAGATTATTACTGGGCTTGTCATGTTTAAATATCAAATGATGTTGTAGCTTTGTTGAGAAGTATAGAATCCTATGCTCGGTCGATAACATATATGAAGCATATCGTGAGTTCATCATATGCACTGTTAAATCAACATCATTAGAAACTATATTACATATGTAGCACTACTACAAACTATATTACATATGTAGCACTGGTGTAACAGTGAGGTAACATTTATACAACATATCTGCATCGAATCCTATGCGCGCTCATAGAGGTCGATAACACATATAAAGCATATCATGTGTTCATCATATTTACTATTAAATCAGTACTACCACAAACTACATCACACATGCAACACTCATGCAACAGTGACGTAACAATTAATTATGCAATACATTTACATCGAATCATACGTTCGTAGAGGTCGATAACACATATAAAGCATATCGTGACCGTTAAATCAACACTACTACAAACTATATTACATGTGCAAAACTCATGTAACAACACTACTACAAACTGCATCACAAATGAATCACTCTTGCAACGTAATTCATGCAATACACATGCAATATATTATATATACTACAAACTACATCACATATGTAGCAGTCGTGCAACACTGACGTCTTTTGTAGCTTTGATATGGACTTTATTGCTCTCTTTATATATATATATATATATTGGGAAGGTTAAGCAAACTCACATATCCAAGCGGACCATCAAGGCCTTGAACCCGACCTCCCTTTGGGGAGGTGGGCTTGTACCAATTTGATTATTGCCAGTTCATCAAACTAGAATATAGTTTTGATACTAGACAAGCTACTTAAATAGCTTTAGCAGGCATGCATTACAAATGACACAAGTTAATTATAAATCACAGATGGATAGTTGATTAGCTAATTAAGTCAAAAATGGAAATCTCATTGTAGGAAGTAATGATTCTATAAGCTAAGACATGTATTATGTGATCATGACATTGATTAGATTTGACCTTTGTAATGTTTGCATACTACAAAAAATGAATGAGACGTTGCACAGGCAGACAATATAATTGGTTTGCCTATAGAACAACCCCTAAAATTGAAAAACAAAGCAATTTTAATCTTAGTTGAGTACAGATTTGTCAACAATTAAGTTCTAATATATTCACTTTTAATAGCATCCTCTATTTGGAAATATGACTATTGATGCTGGAAAAATGGTTTGTTTTGCTTCTTTAGGTCAATTAAAAAGGCTGGACTATGAAAATATGGTTAAGCGAACAGTTATACATTGTTAGGAACTGGTTTATGTTCAATTTTCTACAAAGCCGAAAGTTGGATAGGGTGATACATTTAGGACTACATATGAGAAGGTGATCTAGGAACATAGGTCGAGTTCTCTACCTGCCCTTTTAAATCCCGTGAGACAAATTTTTTTTGACATTTTTAATTACCAGAACTCACAACGCCCTTGTTAGTAATATTCCTGTCCACTCTACCAAAGGCAGGACTCGGATGTAATACTTTCATGTGGAAATACACTTGACATGACATTGCATAGACCAAGACCTTCCCTGTCCATCTCATACATGGGACAAAACCCTTTAACATTCTCTTCTATCCGAACATGCAACATTTTTGTTAGCAGACCCATCTGTCTTACCGGCAAGGAGCCCCAAACAAGGTCGATCACTTTCGTGTGAGTGTTTGGTGTCTAAGTATTGAAGCTACTATGATACCACTTGGAAAAATTAAATATTTGTATCTACTTCAAAATTTTAAATTGTTAGATGGAGTTACCGTAGAAGTTCAAGAACTTGTCGTTCCTATTCTACTGATGTAGGACAAGACCTCTATTCTGTTGACCATATCGGGATGTAACGAGTGAAAAAAATCTAATTAAAAATAGGCTTTCACTCGTGACAAGCCTAATTGATATTGTTAGAGTTGATCGTAATTCAATCCCTTGGAAAGATTTTAATGGTCCGGACTAATGATCGGTGTATGCACGTGATCGAGTCATGTTTTGTGGGCAATGGGTTCATCGATGATCCATTGGTCATAGTTGTGACTCAGTGATCATGGATTTTTGTCAATGTGTAGTTGTCTAGCACATGGTTGGATCCTTAAATGTCAATGTCATGACAGTGAGAACAATTTAATTAGCCCCACTAATTCATGGTTAATTATTATTCCAAATATCAACCCTCTAATAGAAGATTCGAAATATATCTCATTATAGTGAGACCAATTCATCAATTTTGGGCACTTAATATCGGACTTTTTTTTTTGAAATGAAATGATTCCAAATAATTCACAAACAACACATGTTTAAGACACGGTAGTCATTTCTACTCTATCTCAATTTTGTGTGTACTATTAATGCGAGCTGAGTTAAGCAAAAGGTGGTTCATGGTCAAAATTAGCCAACAAGGCACTCACATGAATCACAAGGATTCAAACAAGAGATCATTGCACTTGCAAAGCTCAGTACTGTACATGAACATGCATACAGGCATTGTTTAGGGCTAGGGTCGCTCTTTCTCTCTCTAGATATAGATATAGATATAGATATATGACAACCCCATTTTAGCCTTTTTATTGTCCGGGTATGCTAGAAGATGTGGTGTGTGAGGTATGGACCAGAAAGAGTATCACGTTGATGCAACTTTATCAAAGATGTTGTGCGTTGTAACTAATTCCAGTCCACATATGGGGGCTATGTTAAAAGAACACTAATGGGTATGTACTTTTCCCTTTCGTCCCATCAAAGCCTAATTACCAGATTTTCGGTCCGTTGTCTGTAAGAGCATCCGGTATGAACACTTTATTCCTCTCTACATTTGTCAATACAGAGAGTTACGTTAAGTAATCATATGGACCGTTAAAAATAAAAATAATAAAACAATAACAACAAACTGTTAAATAACACAAAAAAAAAAAAAAACATAAGCAAGAAAAATTTGTGAAGGGATTGCCATATGGCTGGTTGCCGGTTGCGAAAGTGGTTTAAGAAGAAAAAAAAATTTGTGGGGCCTACCATGTGGCAACCCCCCACACTGTCGAATCAGTCTTTGACTTGTTACAAATTAATGATACTAGCGTTCTCACTTGGACAGTTAAACGAATCCAACTTTATTTATCTATGACGATTTGGTTAGTTTTTTTATAAACTGTCTCCTAGATAGGGAGGTGAGAAAGAAAATTTGACTTGTATAGAAGGTTAAAAAAAAAAAAAAAAAAACTGATTTTTAGTGACAGTCATTCCTTCAGAATTATTCTTTCAATAGGTTTGATGGGACCAAGGAAAGGTGTTTCCTAAAATGTTAATTTAATTTAGATTTTTGACTAAAAAGAATGTAGTCTAAGAACTTATTCCTTGATTACAGGCATAAAGCATCAAAGAAGTATTAATTCCAACCCAATATTTGCAGAAAACTTAATTAGAACAGATGGGTGTAAGATGAAAGTTAATTACAAATAAATTATCATATGTCTATTCAGTTAGTGCAGAATAAAGACAATGATGATGACGACGATTTTATTTTTAAACTCGATTAAATTTGGGTTAACACCAATTTTAACTCTAACTCGAATTGATCTTAGAGCATTTTCAATACAAAATGCTATATTTCCATGTTAAATCTATATTTTGAGAGGAGGTACAGTGTCAAAATGCTATTTTTTTTAATTCTACTCTAATGGTGCATTTCATCCAAAATGCTATTTTTTGACATAACAATCATTTCATATTTTGAGAGCTTATTGGATTGACTTATTTTTCATTTTAATAATTTTTGACAATCTCAAAATATGAGAGGTCTTTTGAGAGAGTCCATTAGAGTCCTTATTTTCATCCACTTGTTATATTTTGAGTTTGGGAGGCCATTTGAGAGCTGTTATATTTAAGAATACATTTAAGAATCTTAAAATATGAGAGGTCTTTTAAGAGGTCATTGAAGTGTCTTATTTTCATCCACCTGTTATATTTTGAGTTTAAGAGTTCATTTGAGAGACCATTGGAGATGCTCTTATCAACTTAAATTTTGCTGACTCTAGAAATGACAATTTACTTTGTTATATTTTGAGTTTAAGAGTTCATTTGAGAGACTATTGGAGATGCTCTTATCAACTTAAATTTTGCTGACTCTAGAAATGACAATTTACTTTACTCCGATGGGTATCCATCATGTCCCACCCTGTTTAAACAGATTTTCAAATTGGATCTATTTTTTCAACCCAAATTCAATCTTATTTCAAAGTTTTGAAAGCTAATTAGGTTCGAGTACTTTGGAATGGGATTTTATTGAAAGTTTTATACCTTGTATGAGACCTTAATCCACTAAAGTTGGACCACCATAAAAGAGACTGAACCCCAAAATGGTCAATTGGCCTATTTGGTAGTCTATTTTGTGTCTTTTCACTGCGTATTGGTTAAAGAGCATTCAATATTCTATGGTTAGAAATGATTAGAGATTGAAACGTGGTCCAAGTAGTAACATGGACCAATCTTTATATATGGACTATTCACCTTGGTCGATTCATTAGAATTTGATTCCCTTTTATATATATATATATATATATATATATATTTCCCAAAAACTGTCCAATGTTGATCTATTGAACTTTTGTTCTTTTCTCACCAGTTATAGACTTGTGTAGCAGTCCAACCTCACGTATTCACTTGAATTAAAAGAATAGTAGTTTTTTAAGCCTTTACACATTTGTCTTCACTTGAATTCTCAGTTTCTTTTCTCTGTAGAGCTTTGTTCACATCCCATACTTATGACAATAGAGACAATATATATATATAGACACACATATATATTATACACAGAAAGAACTTTTAATTCAAATAAGTGTAACTTTAACTTAAATATAGATAATATAGTATCAACACTTCTGCACTTGCTTTCTCTATAACCATTGGGACTAACAAACACAAATATTTCCAATGGTTTTGTCAGAGAAACAGGCCGAGGTTGTAGTTTACAAACAAGTCAAAAAATAAAAACACAAAAGTAAAAGTAAAAAATAAAAACAAACCCAATAAAAGTAAGTCCTAGAAATACATAATCTTGACTTCTTGTACCCTACTTCGAGTACTTTTCTCACCCTCATATATTTGTTTTCTAATTTTTCTGCTTAATTACCTATATTGTGGCATATTAATTAAATTGGACGGTAAATTGAGTAAACTTAGGGCTTGATCAGCAACGAGAACCCTTTCTGCAATTGAGTGTACCGGCGCTCATCGTGAGAGGACCCACTAGAGAAGATGGTCTTGCACCCAAGCTTGAAGCCCTGGCATAGCTTGATGAGGATGCAGCACCAGATGTTCTGAAATATGCACCATTCAACATCAAGTCCCCCTCAGACCTCCAATTCCAATTCTTCCATTGACTTTCTGGTGCAACCTCATGTTTGGTCACCTGCATAGGTAATAAAAATATATATTAATCACACGCAAATTTATATGTACAGATAGATATGTACTTGTATGAACAAGTAAAGGAGCTAGGGTTATAATAGGGTTTTCACCTCTTTGCTGAATCTGTTATCTGGTGCAAGAAATCTGTTGCCTTGGCTGTTGATGGTGGGGTTAGCACTTCCTCCAATGGCATACATTTCCCAATGGGTGTAGTCATTGTTCACCACATGGAAGTAACCATGTCTACACCTGCACAAAGTGAAAAACAACAATCTCAATCAAATCAAACAATAAATGTTCCCACCTTACCAATTCATTACATACGTTTCAGAGTAATGCTAAAACTTTAGTAAAGGGAATGCAAGTATCAGTCGTCTACACGTTACATTTTAAAGGAATGCTAGTAACAATCGCTTTACGTGTCAAGTTTCAAAATTGACTATATAAACCTAATCTAAGAAATGCTAGTAAGTTAAAACTTGGGTAGGAAAAATGCAAGTTCGTTAGACTGAGGAATGCTAGTAATAATCGTGTGTGTGTGTCAGAGCTACTTTACCTTGGCATTCTTTGAACAAGGCCTTCACCAAAGTGATTAAAGGCAATAGTGACTTGCATGTTCTTGTCCTGAGTGTAGGAATCACTGTGGCCCAAAAGCATGACCTTATCATGGTGGGTCATGTAATTGTTTGAAATGGTGATGGCAGTGGACCCATGAATGGCATCAATCAACCCATCATGGCAGTTTGACAAGGAGCAATGGTCCACCCAAACATGGCTCCCTCCGAAGATGGACACCCCATCGCCGTCCGATATGGTCCTCCACCCGAAGTGCCCCGGGGAGTCCCTCACCATAGCATTCCCTCCTTGCTTGCAATCGTGTATGTTGATCCCATGTATGATGATGTTAGTCACGAACTGTATGGTGATGCATGGACCTCCAGCAATGTGGACGCTAGCTCCCCTGCCGTCGATCGTCTTGAACGAGTTCATGATCAGCTCCTCCTTGAGTTTGATCACCATGTCACGAGCGAAAACGATCCACAATGGCTCATCCTGGATCACGGCGTGGCGGAGAGTCCCCGGCTTAGGGTTCACCGGGTTGTCATCGCCGGAGTCCGTGATCACGTAAAATTTACCACCTTTCCCACCAATGGCACCCTTCCCGAACCCGATTGCACAGTCGGCTAGCCGCTGGCGGTTCTGCTCCCAATTGGGGTCGCACCGCCAGCAGTCGTCGATCGGATTGCCGGACCCACAAGAGAGATAGCCCAAATTCCTCCTAGTGGCATTAATAATACTCCTGCATAGAAAAAGATATGGCACGTTATAAAAAAAATTATGGAATGTGAGGTATACAAGTAAAAATTGTCCCGTGCATTTTTACACAGGCACACTGCTTGTACTCACCACCATATTCACCAAATATATATATATATATATATATATATATGAAGTAGCTAGCTAAGAGGTGGATCCACTTACTTGTGTACTTCTTGTACTACTAGTTCAGGGTCATGAACTGGTGAGGAGGCAATGAGGATTGGAGTGAGGACAGAGAAGAGGAGGATGAGAGAGAGTGAAGGACCTGCCATTGTTGGCTCTCTTTCTCCCGGGAGGGTGGGGTAGTGAGAGAAACTTTAAGAGGGAGAGGGGGAGAAGAGAGGGTATGCATGGGGAGAAATGAAATAAGTAATGGGGGTTTATAAAGGGGAAAAAAGCGTGCGAAATGGCGTGATTGAACTAAGCATGTGGGGTCCATAGCTGCTTCGTGATTACTGATTTTACGGGGATTCCATAGCTCTAGGCAGTTTGGTTGGTAAGTAAAGCAAGCTTCTCAAGATTAATGGATTAATTAAAAAAGGATTAATTAAAAAAAGGTGAAAATTCAATGATCTGTCTCTAGAGTTTATATCTGTGTGTATGAGCCAATCATGGAAGAAAGGTTAATACAACCCTGTTCAAGTTCCTAAAATATAGCGTGATGAAGTTGATTTGCTTTGAAATATACGTATAAAATCAAATATCTCTCCCAAATTTTCATATCGTTCCATATTAGTGGACAGCGCCCACAAGTTGCACTCCAGCCCCTCAACGTGGCGTCCATAAGGTGCACACCAGCGTGCTCCAGCTTTGGCTAGACCTTCACTTAAAAACCGCGGGTTTTTTGGACTCACTTGCTCGTCGGATCTGCGTATCATTCGGTGTTGCTCTCATTCATCCTTCATTCTCTCTTCTATTTAATTTTTATCTTTTCTATTCTTCAATCTCTCTCTTCCATTTTATAATTGTTCAATAAACGTGCACAGAAATATTGTATGTGTCTGGTGATGAATTATAGAATTTAAGAGGACAACATCACCATAGTAGATAATATATGTATATATATATATTAATTATTAACTTTAAGAGATGACAACTAATAACAAGGCTCTCATCTTACATTATGAGATTTGACTCTTACGTGATCTTCTTATTATAGAACTGTGGGATGCTCTAATAGACATGACGTAACCATCATCCACACATGCAATATACATATAAATATAGATTGAGTTTTTTTAATGGTAAATCAAATACCACCTTACGGGATTGAAAAGCATTGAATTGAAAGTTCAAACATACCATAATCAAAGTATTGAAAAGCATACATTTCCTCATTTTCAACAAAATAAATAAAAGATAATAATAATAATTTGTTGGTTTTTATAAGGGATGATCATTTTCAAGGAAAAAAAAAAAAAAGAGGTTATATATGTTTGTATTCTGTTGTTTATGCGTACACCGCATAGAACATTATGTACACCAATTCCTTCCTTCACAGTTCACAAAATTATAATGATAGAGACATTTTGGACGCAATTATATTACTGATAAAATGTAGAATTTAACTTATTTCTATGTATTGAACTATATATATATATATATATATGATGCAATTGGAGAGAAATTATGGTAATAACTTCACGTAAGCACCGACACTAATATTCTATTACTGTTAATAATATCTTTTCTGGTAATGACTGATGATACTAAGCAACCATATTGTTTTTGTATAATTTTTGGTAGGGACAAGTAACATGTTTAGTGGTCATTTGGCACACATCATTACTCTTCGTTAGATGTGATATATGAGACTATTTAGTTAAGGCAGATGGAGTTGCTTTTTTGAGAACACCATAATTAATTTCTTAATATACTCCAAATGCTAGTGGTACATTTACAATAAATAAAAAAATGAAACACAACTAACCCTACCATATTGTTGTTAGTTAATTATATTTTTAGTAGTGCAATATACTTCTAGATTTCATGGGACCCCAATTGTTTGTCTTAATTTTATATAATTATGAAAGAAAATTATCAAATTAACAAAAGAAAATTATGAAATCTTTTGAGGCTTTCATGGTAATTTTCTTCTCTTCTTTTAACGTAAAAGGTTGAGAGTTTTGATTTATGAAGGAAAAAGAAATTAATGAGAGAAGATTTTCTACCATATTTGTATGTTATTGTCTCGATAGCTCAGTGAATTAGTGTTTTTAGTGCATTTTGGAGTATTAGGTTTTGACTCTCTACTTCTACTAATTTAATATCTAACATTTCTTGCTTTAAAAAATAAAATAAAATAAAATAAAATTTTGCCCATCTACGATATGAAACGAATTATTCAAGAGTAATTTGTGATTATTTGACTCTCATTCATTTATTAAATAAAAGAGTTGATAACTTGTGAATGTGTTTATTAAATGAATTAAACTTAAATAATGATAGGCCGATATCCTAACACATGCTTGATATTCTTTTTTCTAATTTTGTTAGACTTTGCCCCCATATATTAATATAAAAAATTATTAAATATATCAAAAAATTAAAAAGTACTAATGTATTACATAAATATTTAAACAATACGTATATGCTGTATGGAATTATAACATTCCTTAATCACATTTTTACAATAAGAAAATGAATTATCATAATAATAATGATACATCATACCTAAAATTCTCGTGACAATTGCACATGCTTTTGCCCTATAATTCAAACTTGATGGTCCTACGAACCAACTTTGCTTCTAATCTCTCCCTACATGTATATATTCCTGTATGTATCTGTATCTGTATCTATATATAATATATGTATCTTTGTTGTTCATTGAATTTTAAAAAAAGTATATCGGCCGCAAACATCGGCTAGACTGCACACCAACAAATGATGTGTAATCCACAATGCTGACATGGCATTTCGACGGCCTCTTAACTGCCACCTGTCCAGCATTATAAGGCTCGCACATGGGCCGTGACTTGGGCCTTTCTCTAGTGAAAGCTACGTGCTCACGTGGAGATTCGATTTGTTCTCATCCAACCATTCCCTTGTCGACAAATCGCAGCCGCCGATTGTGGATATGAGGAGCAATCAGATCCGTTGATTGGATTGGGCTGTGCAAAAAGGACTTGGTGTGGGACAAAACTAACGTGAGGGTCTTAGTTGAGCAAGTTTGTTGGGGGGTAGGGCTCAAATGAGAGGCATAGCCATGTTAGTGGGGGCTTTTTGGACAGTGGTGTCTCAAAATGTGACTGATTGCTACCTGGCAACCTCCTCAACGACCCACGTGGCAGACCGACTGCTTCGCCATGTGTGGGTCTCTCTTGGCCAATGGTTTTTCTCCATCCTCACATGGGGGTGATATTGAATTTTCACATCAAATACAGCCTATCAAAGTCAATTTTGTTTTTTCAACAATTATTATATATATTCACCCCAAATTTTACCTAATTTATTGACTACTAAGTCAATATGTTTCACCTTAATTCATCTCCATTGTTGACATTTTACAAGATTAGTTAGTGATTCTAACTAACCTAAACTGAACATTTAGTCCTAGTACCTTTTTCTAATGCCGTTTGGTCAAATTATTTTGACTTGATCATAAATGATCTAATAATCAAAAGTTAACTAAGTTTGATTAGTAGGTCATGTTACTCGTCAATCAAATTTTGTCGTTTAGGATCTTGAAATCGCGTGTTTTTAATCCTACGCGAAGATGGTTGAATATTTCAAAAATTTTGTTGGAAGTGTAAATGGAGTCAAATTATTTTGGTAAGTAGTATTTAATAGTTTTTTGTTATTAGGTTTTATATTATGTTATTTTTCGTAATTTTTAGAAATAGTCCAATTTTGTTCTTATTTTTAAATTCTCTTATACTCTTTAGGTTTCTCTCTAATATATGTATGTGTGCATTTACTGCAACACTAGAATTATTCATTCATTAATAATATTTCAAATAGGCTTGTACATGGGTTGAATCCAAATCCGATAATAGTTATACATATTCTGATCTGGATTGATAATTAGATGGATTATTTATAATTGAATCCGTACTTGAATTGTTAAAAATCAAATATTCGATCTGATAACCTGATTCGTTAAGGATATATATTTTTTTTGTTAAAAGAATTAATGTCAAATGAAATACAAAAAGAATACAAATAAAAACGAGAGTAGAAAATCAGGTATTTGACTTTTTATAAATAAATTAAAAAAAGAAAAGAAAAGAAAAACAACAATAAAGAGAGACAAAATAGAGAGAGGGGAGAAGAAGAAAAAATAAATAACAATAAAAACTATTTTAATAATTTGTAATTATTATATATTACTAGTATAATATTAGATAACATATTTATATTAATTATTTCAAATCAAATTATTATCGAATTAAATCGACTATAATTCATATTCAATTTATATAACTAACAGATAATCGAATTTTTTATCAGACCAAATGTTTCAATCTATATGGAAGTTATCGGATCTAATTTCAAATTTTGTTGCTTAATCTTGTTTATGAAAAGTTATGGTATTTGAAGTGATAAGATGGTGGGAAATCCATTCAATCTCTTCCCAGCCATGTGATGCAATGAACTGGCATCCAATTCCCATCTGCTCACAGTTCAAGTAGAGCTTCCATTATAATGTGTGTGTTTTCTATATGTCTAAATGGTAAGTGTTGTCAATCATAATAGAAGAGCAGAGAAGGTGTCCCACATCCACCAATAGCTAGGGAACAAAAAGTGTCAAGAAAAGCATAATTTATTGGCTGAAATTTGATTTGTGATGCCCATTTCATTAGGGTTCCAAGGGTTAAGATGGGAACACCCTCTGTCCCCATCAACAGTTGGATTTGTTGGAATGAAGTGTTCCTTTCAATACAACCATTGAAATGAAATATTAACTATAATAGGAGTAATACCATTCATACATTTCAATATTATCATTTTATTTTCATACAAGTTAGGAAACTCGTATACAAATACGAGATACGCATACATATAACACGATAGAGTGCGAGTAGGATACAATAATAAAAAAATAAAAAATTATATTTATATATATATAATTAATTTTTTGTCAATTTTTAAAAAATATTATGATTCTAAATGCAATAGCTAATATAACGGAATTGATTTCACAAAACATAAAACAAGTATCCCTAATTATATATTTTTAACTTTTCTTAACAATTATACTATAATATTATTGTTCGAAAAGTTTACATTTTAAGTTTAAAACTTAGTTAAATATGTGATTTGAAATATCTTTAAAATATGAAATTCATGGTCGGATAAAGTATCAGACACATATCGATGACTATCCGAGAAGTGTCAATATCTGATACGGACGCGATAT